CGAGGGGTCGACCTGCTGGTAGGGGAACACCCGATTTTCTCTTTTTTTTTTGTCAGTAAGTGATGGCGCTGTTGTCTTGATTTCATGCATGGGAGCTACATGGTTGGGGGGAGTTGTGATCTGTGGGTTCATCAGTGTGCAACTTCGCTTCATCTGCATTGGCAGAGGGATGGTATGGTTGATTGCCTTCTCATGTGTGTGTGGAGGAGAGAGCATGTGGTGAGTAATAGACAGGGGATTTTTCCAACCGATTTGCTCGCAGGGTTTTCAAAAGAGGAAAAAAAATCGAGCGTCACTTGTCATTTGCGCACCTGCGTCATGTTAATTGTCGCTGTGATTACGTATTCCTTTTTCTATGGGCACCTCCGACGACAGTCCATTTTCAAGAGCTAAATTGAAAGAAGTATAAAACTCCACTAATAGTAATTTCTGTATCCACATTCATCTTTTTGGTCAATTCGGTACCAGAACTACTACATTTTGTAAACAATAATTATGCTACATGCGGCTAGTTAGGTTCCGGCCTTCTAGTACTTCAAAATCTTGTCATACTGTTCTATGCAAGTAAAATCTTCAGAGCTGTAGGTGAGTTATTTTTCCTTTCAAAGGTTTTTTTATTGTTTAAGTATATGAAGTTCTAGGCCTGTCGTTCTCATTCCCATTATCTATTTCACTCTCTTCTCTTTGTATATATTCACCTATCTTTTCTATATGTCTGTTCGCAGCCCAAGTCTGAATCAATGGTTGTGTATATACGTGGTGGCGCCATCCATTCATTTAGATCGGATGATCTGATGAGTCCGGCGATAGTCTGCTCATTTAATATATCAATCACTCGATGCTCTTGCAAAGTCGGAGCAATGTATTAAGGCTGAGCTCGCTCAGCCACACCTTATTCCCGGGCTCTCGAGTACTACTAGATTACTACTAGCGGTATTCCCAGTTGCCCATGATATATACTCCCTCCGTTCCTAAATAATTGTCTTTCTAGAGATTTCAACAAGTG